TGGACAAGTCTAAAGGGAGGATCCACCCATTTGCTCAGACAGTCCAGTCCAGCTGATTTTCCATACTCTTTTTCACCTGAAAGGCATGTTTCAGAAGTAAAAGGTGATTCTCCCATGCCTAATTGCTCAAAACATGATATGAGTCTACCTGAATCTTGCCAAATTTTGAAGTCTGTGGATTATGGAGAAAGATGTCAGAAGTTCTCTAGTACAGTAAAGTATTTACTGGTTGCAGATAAGGTGGAAAAGTATCAGTGTCTCAGAAAACAGACCAAGGGAGACTCTACTTTCACCCAAGTTAATGCAAGTACTTTATCCACCCTTCCAACCAAACAAAATTGTGGAAAGAAAAAGAAGAGCACGGCACCCTTGCAAAAATTTGTAAGTGATGAAGATATGAATGATTGTGATGATAATGACGCTCATCTTATTGCGGAACATAACGAGTTTCTTACTAATACTGATACAGTTTACAGCCATCCCAGTCATAGGTCAAGTTCTCTACCGGGTATGTGTTGGATTTGTTTTTGTGTTGACTTTTGATTTTCGCGGCTTGACACAAAGCAGTTCCATCCAGTTTTAGGCTCGACAGCATGCATAATGCTTAAAACTTCAGCATGTTTTCTTAGTTCAACGAATGATTTTTGCACTGATTATTTATTTTTAAGACTTTGCTGCTTCTTAATTCCAAGATTGGTTTTTTGCAGGAGAATCTTTTTCCAGGTCACAAAAGGTATGTAATTTCTATAAATCATAGTTAAAAAATTCTCTGTAGTTTAAACATGTTTATTGCTTAGTTGCCTCTATAGCCAAACGTGATTTATAGATGTTTCAATAGAATCATTGCTTTGTTATAGATCTAATTACATCATGAATTGCATCAATTGCTTAAAATTTATATTCCAATTATTAAAGGTGGGAGTTGTGGATCCAATTTGAAAACAAATGTAATATTCAATTCAGAAGCGCATTATGTTGCAGCAGCTTGCATTGCCTTTTTTTTTAAATTTCATTAGTTTAATTTTGCTAAAATTCAAGAGGCTTACATTAATTATGCTTGCAATGAAACTGAGATGTGTTTGTGGTATAGGGAAAACTTTGTGTAATGAAAACAAATGTAACAAGTTAACTCTTATAATGTTGGTGAATAAAGGCAAAAGCATTGAAACACTTTTTTGTCTTCATTGCCAATATTTTGACTATTTTTAAAAGGTTTAATTACATACAAAACACTTGAAACATTGCTATTTACAAAACTGGCACCGAGGAGTTATCTGGAACTACTGAACTGATCCATTTAAAACCTTTGAGAATTTGATAAAATGAAATATAAGGGTTAAAGTTTTATCGTCAATTTTGATAATAAGTATGTGCTACTTTCTAGATTCAGTTTTTATAACTCTGAACTGTTAACACATACTTATAATCCAAGGCTTATAAACTTATGTCAGTGTTCAAATCTCAAGTGTAATATTCAATTCCTTTGTGACTTGTAAAAAACTCACCTTTGTTTGATTTGATGAAGTCGCCACTGCATCTGATTGGAATCATGGCTTGACAGGGCATTACATCTTCAAATCTGAGAAATCCGAATCCTGTATTTGCTTCTTCTGGGGATGTTTCGACCACAAAAGTGGAGACTGGAATGGCTGAGAAGAGAGAAGCAGAACACGCTGCTTCTACACATGAAGCAACTGATGCAAGACATAGAAAAGCAAGTGTTTCTAGCACAGAAAGTTTGGCTGCAGATCATCATATAGCTTCACAAGTTAGGGCATCAGATGCCTCCAGCTCCAATCCTCTACCAAATCACACATCAGGATCAGAAACATGCAGCAGATGGATCAAGCGTCTCCAGGATAACCATTCCAAGACTGCTCCTTGTACGAAGAGGTTCAGACGGGGCGATGATTCCTCCAACGAAATACAGCAAACTCCCACCATACAAAACTATAATCCATTACGCCATGCTTCACAAGAAAAATGCGTGAAATCCATAACATCGTCAGCAAATGTTTTGCATAACGGCGATTCAGACGAATGTGTACAGTTGTGGATGAGGAGGTGGCGCCATAGTGGCGATGAATCGTCCTCGACCGCATCAATGCCGAGTGTTCCGCTGACGCTTTTGCCCGAAAAGTCTAGTGCGGCGCTTGAAAAATTTGAAGGGAAGATGTCTGCAAGCATTGGAGGGATGGCTTTGATGGGGAAGGCGATGAAGAATTATAGGCCGTATAGAATTCGGAGAGAGGAAGGATGTCTAGTATGGAATACGGGAGAGTGAGGGAGGGAGGGAGCGGATTGATGAAGAGAAATTGATGAAGAGAAGTTTATAAGAATAGTGCGATCAAGTATATGATGAAACAATGAAGCTTTGCTCTGTTCTGTTGAGAGATTTTGTTGTTGCAACACATTTGTTAACAGAGTTTTTGGTTGAAGAGAAGGCATTTACATTATTCAGCTGATTTCATGTCTTGTAATACATCCATTACTCGAAGTCACGTCTCGGTTTCATACTAACGATAACGTGATGTGATCTAGGCCGATATTATCCCATAGATCGGTTGTAGACAAGTTTATTTTTTATTTGTTAGGGTAAAATTTATATACAGGCTACATGATTTTTATATATTTACTTGTCTAACACT